ACCTGAGCTGCTACAGGTTGGGAATGTGGAGGTCTAAACACTAGGGAAGGCCAGCTTCTGCCCGTAAGGTAAAATAATGTAAGACAGGAAACAGCAGTGCTTCGTGGTTGGCTTGGGCTTTTTATTTTCAGTTAAGGAGCATCTAAATGCTACAGCATACAATGATACTTCTGTCTGTTTTGGGAGTTCTCTTTCCTCTTTCAACAAATGCCTCCGAGTCCTGGGGTCAAACCCATCAATCACCTTTAATAAGACCTCAAATGCCAGCGATGAGCCAGGCCTTATTATCCAACATTGATTACCGACCTCACTATTGCTCTTGTAGTTGAATAGAAGAAAAACTCTACAGCCAGGATCAGGTAAAAATGTTTCTCAAAACCTTCCCAGCACAGTGGAGGCTGTGGCATATTAATGGTTTCAGAATGAGATGCTCAACATTTACATATGGGTCTAATGTTTCAGATCAGTTCACTTGTCTTCCTGTTGTTAAGCAGCCACTGTGAAAAAATACACACAAACACTGCAGCTCGAGTTCAACCAAGACCTTATGGTCATTTCCAGCCCCAACACCCTGAATGTATTACCTCTGCCTGCGATCAAATCCCAGGGAGGACGTTTGCTTTACCAACTCTGCTGAATTACATTTCCCTCTCCACAATGTTTGAATGGCAAGACAATAGGTCAGAAACTGCCTGTACATGTAATAAATCTTAGAGGAAACAAATAGCAACCAGAAAAATAGTGCTTGAAAAACATAAAAAAGGGAAACCAACGCTCAGTTCAGGTCATCTTCTGATTTATTTTACAAGCAGGCAGTGTGAATTATATGTCGTGCCTACACTGCTGTCAGTTTTTTTTCTACTATCTGAGCACATCTACAACTACAGATTGTTGTGTCAAGAAACAAGCTAAAGTTACATTAGGGGCTCAACTGTAACTTTTATATTCCAATTCACAACAGGACGTGTTAAGTTTTAAGTGTGGCAGCATGATTTATACGGACTGGATGCACATCAAGGAGCAAAGATATTTTCACAGCTCATCAGACTTCTTTATGTTGGGGTTGACAGCCACACCGCACATACAAGCTATGCATGGAGATGGAGAGCAGCAATGCAGTCACTGATTTATGGTTACACACACACACACACACAGGAGAAGCATCAAGCCGACTTGAGGAGATGTGGGTACACAAGACTCTGACATTATAAAATTCAACCTTCAACAAAACTACAAGTCAGAAACTTCAATTCACATGTGACATTAGCTAAAATGTGATAGTAAACCCTCTGAACTCTGGAATGATCTGCCCCCTGGGTCTGAGCTCCTGCTGCAGCTGGGCCTCATGCTCACAGTATTAAGGTGATTATGACTAATAAACAACAGTGTAGATGGATGGTCAGTGAACTGAGATGGACACCAGAATTAACAGAGGTCAAACCTGAATCATTCCAGGTACAAGGAAATATACATCATCCACCATAATATCTTGTTGTCTTAACAATGTGTGAGCTGACACCATCGAGTATATCACTTCACAAAAACCAATCAAAAACAAGCTTTGAGAATCAACACATTCACTGTGTCATGTAGCCTAGTACATGTTCACGCACGACAAGTTAAGCTAGCATAGTACCTAAAAATGCATTAGTGAAGTTAAAAATGAGCAAACAAACAGCACCAGAAGACAAAATACACCACCAGTCTCACAGTCTACACGGTTAGATTTAAGTGTTAGACGTAGGTCGTCATCAGTTGCATTTTGGCTTTGAAAAGATGGCAATGTGCAGACTGCACTCATGGTTAAACGACAGCACAAAAACAATTGTGTTGACCTCACCAACTTCTAGAAACAAAATAATCTCAGGTGACCCAAAAAAACCACACACACACACACCAGATGTCAATATGTACTCATTGTTTTCCAAAAGTAAACCAACATTCAGAAACCAGGCAGGAAAATAAAAGTATACCATATAGACTAATTCAATAAAATGTAGAACCATCCTTGGCAACAATAACTTGGAAGTAAACATTTTCTCTAGGAGTTGATCAATCTCTCACATTGTTTTGGAGAAACTTTGATCCACTCTTCTTTACAATATTGTTTCAGTTCATTGATATTTCGAGGGCACTGGTTCATGCACAGCATCTCAGTGGGGTTGAGCTGGACTTGGACATTCCAGCACCTTGATTCTTTTCTTCTTTAGCCAATCAGATGTTGATTTGCTGATGTTCTTAGGATCGCTGTCCTGTTACATGACCCAGTTGGACAGATGGTCTCACATTTGTCTCAAGAATATTCAGGTTTAAAGCGGAGTTCATCGTCGTCTCTTTAATGAATGGATGTTTCCCAGGTTCTGTGGCAGCAAAACAAGCCCAAATCATCCTCCCTCCACCGCCTTGTTTGACAGTTAGTATGAGGTGTTTATGGTGATATGCTGTGTTTGGTTTTCACCAAACATGAAGCTGTGCATGATGACCAAACGGCTCCACTTTGGTCTCACCAGTACAAAGGATGTTGTTCCAGAACTGCTGTGGTTTATTCAGATTCAGTTTTGCAAACTCAAGTTGTGCAGCCATATTCTTTTTTGAGAGAAGGAGCTTTTTCCTAGACACCTTTTTGTAAAAGTCATACTTGTTTGGTCTTTTTTCTGCTTGTGCTGTCAGGAACATTTAATGTGCGTACAGAGTCCTGGAGGTCACATGATGTAGCTTTTGGGTTTTTCTTCTGGCCATTAAATGATCCGACTTGGACTGAATTTGCTGAGACACCCGCTCCTGGGAAGATTGGCAGGTGTCTTGTAGGCTGTCTGTTTGTGAACAGTCATTCTCACTGTAGACCAGTGAATCTCAAATTGTTTGGAGAAGGCTTTATAACCCTTCCCCATCTGATGAGCAACAACAGTTACTTCTGAGGTCATGGCTCATGTTCTTTTTTTCTTGGTATGAGACATACACACCCACCCCCACACCCACACCCACCCACACCCACACACGTCAGTGCTCCAGAATACCAAACAGCCTCAATGTTCTGCCTTTATAGAGGTAGTCACACTTCTTAATGATCTATACACCCTGTGCATTTGATTATTAACACCTGGCTGCTGATTACGCTCTCCTAATAATTGTGAGAGTAGGAAGGGTGCACTTTTATTTTCCCACCTGGTTTCTGAACGTTGATTTACTTTTGGGAAACTTAACCACATACTGAAATCTGCTGTGGGGTTGTTTTTTTTTTTGGCCACCTGAGGTTATTTGTTTTTGTTTACAGAAGTTGGTGAGGTCCACACAATTGTTTTCCAATAAACACAGCATGTGTACAGATTAATATAATCAGCAGTTGCAGGCCTACACAGGTGGAACTAATTTATTGCTGTGCTATATTGCAATAATTAAATTAAACAAAGCCATTGTTGGTTTTGTAATTAAGAATACCAAAAGTTCACAGCTGTCTCTCAAATGTGATTATTTGCTGATGTTCTATTCTTAGCTGCCTGCGTGCATGTTGGAGGCATGTAATGTTAATTTTTACCTGTGTTCATTGAATAAATCAGCACTGTTTTGAAGTTATAGTACTTGGACTGCTTTGTCTCTCAGGGTTAGCATGGTTAAAAGTACCAGGTCCAACAGGGGTTAGCCCAAAATTTATAAATGTACTGTAGTAGGATCTGTGTTTCCGGGGCTTTTTTTTCCAGCAGCCAGTGTGTGTGTCTCTGGAGGAAGGAGCAACCCGGGTTGTGTTTGTAATTTTGCTTATGGTTTGAAATAAATCAGCACTAAAATGAAGAAAGATGGACTCCTTCATTATTCAGATCTGTCCAATAAAAGAAATGGGGTATTATATGATATACAGGTCCTCAATGGAGGGCAGGCTCACACCAATGACCTTGTCTGCAGTACTCACTGTCCGCTGAACTCTGTATTTGTCCTGCTTGGTTGCTGAGCAAAACCAGACAGTGATGGAGCTGCAGAGAACAGACTCGATGATTCCTCTGTAGAACTGTATCAGCAGTTCCTGGGGCAGGTTGAAGGTCCTGAGCTGGCGCAGGAAGTACATCCTCTGCTGTGCCTTCTTGGTGATGGTCCTGAAGTTGGACGTCCACTTCAGGTCCTGGGAGATAGTGGAGCCCAGGAAGTTGAAGGACTTTACTGCTGATACAGTGCTGCCAAGTATGGTGGGAGGTGGGGGGTTCTTACTGAAGTCCACTGTCATCTCCACTTTTTTGAGCATGTTCAGCTCCAGGTTGTTGCGGCTAAACCACAGGACCAGCTGCTCAACCTCCCGTCTGTAGGCTGACTCGTCATCATCTCGGATGAGACCCATGACCGTTGTATCATAAACTAAATATACTTGTGTTTTGGACAAGTCACCTGAATAAGTCTGCATGGGAATTGCTTACTATTTTTAGATGGACCAAACAATTACTCAATAAAGTAAATGAAGTAATTAGTTTTAACCCACAGCCTCACAACTGCCCCCATTTAGATTCTGTTTTGGACAAATTCAGATTTATTTAATGCACAACAGACATTAAGTTTTTATAGCAGAACTTTTTACATTTCAAACATACACATATGTTGTGCTTCATTACATTTTCCAGCACCGTGTCCCTGCACTGAAGAGAGTTCTAAGTATTAGTGGGAGCTTTGACTTTGCTTCCGGTCTCAGTCTGACCTCCATGAATGCAGATCTCAGACATGTTTCAGTCTCTTTCCTTGTGAAATTCATCAAAACATCCAGTGAAACAAATTACAAAAGCAATATAATGTGTGAACAACATCATTTATATTTAAAACACCAACCAAACACAGAGGCGTCCTTAAAAATAAACGTGGCGCACAGTAACCATAGTCACACTGAACAGCAAGGCATCGCAGTCACATTATCTGCGCACACGCACTGACCATCCACACAAATAGCATTAAACCTTTATAACAGGTCGAACGAGACCGTGTTACACCCTAAAGAAACGACATTAACCTCAGTAGCATCATACCTCTCACTCGTCCCGCAGCTTCACGCTGTTAGCAGAAACCTTCAGGGCGCAGACATGTTGGATCAGTGAAAGCTGCGCAGTTTGTTACTGTCATCTACGACACTGCCACCTGCTGGACTGGAGGAGCAGCTGCAACATGTGGGCTCCCTAAGGGCACTTGAGCAGTAGGTGGGTGTTGACGCAGCAACATTTACCACTTGGTTTAATCTTTAATTTAACCTTGCAAACTTTTGATTTCTTTTTAATTGTACTACAGCAGTAAATATCATAGCATAACACACATCACATGTTGACAAGAGCCAGTATGACTGCTCTAGTAGGCTACTGCACTTAAAATTTTGAGATTTGTATTTTAATTTCATGCAATTTTATCCTTTTGTTCCACCACATTTCACAGGCAAACATTGTACCTTTCACTGTCCCTCATTTATTTGATAACTTTGCAGATTAATAATACAAAATGTAATTATCAGATAAATTGTGATGTATTATTTTATGTACATGTAAAAGCCTACGTTAAGACTGTGGGGCTCGGCTGCCTACCAGCTTAGGAAGTAATTTAAATTACCCACAACTTTGTCTGCTGCAAAATGTAATAAATAGGCTATATTAATGTAATGCAACAATAAATAAAATTCAATTATATTTTATAGTGTATCATTCTGAAATGAACCATCCTGCATAAAAAGTATTTTGATGAGTGTTTGGATGCAACGTTAGTACTTTGATTTTAATAAATAATTTTGAATGCACGACTTCCACTTGTAACAGAATATTTCTGCACTGCTGTATTTTTACTTTTACTTAAGTAAAAGATCTGAGCGTTTCTGATGGACAATAGAAATTATTCTAACCACAAAGGCCCATTCAGTAGCTGTGCTGAAATTTCCAGTGTTATTATACCATCCTTTTTTATGATTGAATGTCCATCCATCCATCTTCATCCACTTCATCTGGGACCGGGCCATGGGGACAGTAGATGAATGAATGTATAATGATTTTTACAATTAATTTTGGTTTTATTGTAAATCTCTGAAACATATTAATTTAAAACCTGGAAAGTTGTGGAAACTACAAAACTGTATAAATTAACACACTCTCATTGTAATAACTTATCATTTAAACTGAAGTGGTAATTTATTATTTAATAGGTCTATATTGTTTTTCTACTCTTTACATGGTTGATGTTTTAAAATTATTTTCATAAATTTTTACAGTTTTTTGTTTATGTTTTTTTTAATTACTCAGCCACAGGGAATGGCTTCATCACACCATCTTTATCAGCAGATGGTGTTGCCCGGCTGTCAAGGAAATGTATGTGCAGATGGAAATGTGAACATTTATCTCTCCCCCTTTTCCTGTTTCCATTTTCCATTCCTCTGAACACTATCATGTATGCATTTCTCATTTTCCATCAGCTAGTTCCAACTCTTCATGACTGTCATAGGCTATTCAATCCCAAGACGTCATGTTTTTCATGAATGAACTATATCATAAAATGTCAATATTCTAGATGGCTTGTGCATCATTTTTACAGACATTTCCCCCAAATTCAGCCTCACCTATCTGATGTCTTTGCAAATTGTGGGTTCTCTATTACATGATTTAAATGGACTGTAGTTTTGGGATTGACAAAACAATCCCATCACAACAGTTGGCTTCAACATTCTGTTGCTATAGCAACCACTGGTTGAGTTCCATAACAGTTTAACTGGCACCATTACATCCACCACCTTTGTCTGCCTTTGTGCATCTTTAATCTACTCTCCGAATGCCCTTGTCGCTTTATATGAAGTTACCCTTTTTATTCTAGTTTTTTTGATTAGTTAATATAGTTTTTATATGATCGGTTTACTGGCAACTATGTTACTCTCAGAGGCTAATGTGTTGCTACTACAACATTCTGTTAGTTATTTGTTAATCAAGCTAATTGATATGTACTGTAATTTTTAAAAACTCTTCTACAGTCTTCTGTGCAGCGTGTGTATTTTAATTAACAAGGCCTGTGTGGTGCTCCCTATGGGGGCTGAATGTTTATTTTTCACAGCTGATGAGTTGTTTCTTCATGGTTCAAGGGGGTCACATGAGAGTTTGTCTATACTTTTTTGATTCCAGTTTTCTTCTCGACATTTTTACAATATCTTTGGTCTAATTATAGCTTTTCATAAGCTATTCAGTCCTTTTCGGATTTGTAATAATCAGAATCAACATTATTGGCCAGGTGTGTTGGGACATACAAGGCATTTGACTCTGGCACAGCAGCCCTCAGTGTGTAAGGCAACACATACATATATATATATATATACACATACATACAAACAATAATAATAGTTATTGTTGTAGTCAACCTTCACAATTTTATAGTCATGGCCAATTCTCATGAACACAATAGGATGAACGGATTATATTTTGGTGGTCAAAGATCATAATGACCTCATGTCCGTCCCATATCTGTGAGTTTGACTGGTTGGCAGAGGCATACAACTTCAAAGCAGTAATTCTTGTTTCACTTGTTCACAATAAATGCCTCAACTGCCAAGTGCTGCTTTTGACCTTTGTATTTAGCAGTAAAAGGTCCTTTTAGGAGCTTATTGTCAGGGATCTGATGACAAGTGGCAGACTCCACCTTTTGATAAGGCTGCAAGCTAAATATTCACCTGCACATTAACATTTTCTTTATAAGTTTGTCATTTTGAATTCTTGTTAACAAGTCATGACCTCAGACTGATAAAGATGCACCAGCTTCCCTTTGGAAATGTGTTACATTGTGTGATGTTGTTACCTGGTTCCAGGAGCTTAAGTGAATAATTAATTCATGTTGTTGCGCTGACAGACAATCTCCCTCCTGTGACCTGGACCAGAATAATCCTGTAATTAATTCTGTTACACTTCCATAATGAAACAGCATGAACATTAGACAGTATTTCCATTAAGGGTAATAGAAACATGATCAGAGTTGACTAAACTATTTTTAGCTGACCACTAAAGCATTTATGTTTCTCAGATTTTAATCTAAATCAGCATTAGAAATCTTCAAATCTGCAGAATGTTCATATTCGTCTGCAAATGTAGTTGACTGTAGCTTATGACAACAGGAAAAATATGAAGATGACTGCATATGTTACCAAGACATTTTAATAAATTACTTTATTACATCTCTGACTTTACTTTCAGGATTTCCCCATGTCTGAAACATCTTTTACTCAAATGCGTGAGAGAAAATAACAAAGCCAAACATATAAAAAACAACAAAAAAGTTTATTAAAAATATTTTATTTGGAATAAATTCAAGTTCTTAAATTTCCTTTCATACTGGTACTGTCAATGTTTTGACAGATGTATGCGATATGTAATAAAACTCTAATCAGTAGTATTCCAACAGTCTCACCAAACAAAAGTGCTCCAAGTGACAAAAAAAAAAAGAAAAAAGATTTACATTAAAATGTGAGGGGCGAAATTTAAACTGTAAATGTGAAAAATAGTTTAATTTCTCCTCAGTATAACAATATAGGTACATTATGCAAAGCTGGCTCCCAAACGTTTCTCATTTTATCAAAAACAGAATAAAGAGATTAAAAATTAAACCCAATTGAAAAATTCACAGTTTACTTGAGATGTTTGAAACCGATACAGAAATTGTCTTGTACATCAAGATGTTTAATAAATAATTTGATATTCTAAGATGTCAAAAAAGTGCCACTAAAAACACAGTTAAGGTTTCATAGTTCAGTGGACGGACTTGGCCGCTCTCTGGAGGGCAGCAGCGCTCACATTTAGGGAATGCTCATTGGGAAAAAACTCCCTCAATAGGAATGACAGGAACATCTGTCCAAAAACAGATGATAAATTAGACTTGTCATAGGATGTAGGTTACATGTAATATACATGGGATAATGACAAAAAGACAATTTAATTCCATAAAATATTAAGAAACTCACATAAACCAGCATTTTGTTTTCTTCACTGTTCTGGAACAGATTAAAAACAAACTCCAGGTCTGACTTCTTCAGGATCAGATAGCTTGAACCTACAGAGCAAACATGAAACATGCTAGATTGATCAAACATCAATGAGCATGTGACCCTGCTGGAGGGCAGAAATGTGTCACCTACATCTGGCATTGATAAGATGATGTGCTCGCTCTCTGGTCTCATTCTTCTCCTCTTTGGTGCGAGGAGGAGGAGGAGGAGGTGCTGCTGCTGCTGGTGGTTCGAACTCTGGCCACACTTTGTCTCGCAAAGTGTCAATGTACCCAGCCATCTGCACTACTGTAGGGTTCATCTTGTTTAGGAACGAGTTCACTTTTCTGGAGAGGAACAGCGCTCATAATTACAACACGTTCATAGAACAGGGTGCGACAAATATATAAACTGTGGAAGGGCGTTAGCGGCAAACTTACTTTTTCAAGATGGGCATAACAGGTTTCAAAATGGCATCAAATATGTTTAAGAGGATGGAGTTTCCTGTAAAGACAAAGTGTATTAGTGTCATGGCTGATGCATTTTTCCATGTTAAAATTTTTTTTTTATAACAAACTATCAATTTTGACACTAGTTATAGATAACATTTTAGTAAAAGGCCATCTAAGTACACATCCACACAGCAAGACCCAGCTGTACAACATGGTCTCCATGTACTTCTTCAGCTCAGTATGTTCATTTAACACCTACCAGATTCATTTGTCTGCTGTTTGATGCACATTACAAAGATTAAAGACAGTGATCGAGATTCAAAAGTGCAAACTAAAACCAAAAGCTAAAGAAAAGAAAAAAAAAAAAAAGCAGTTGAGTTTGAGCCTTACAGCCTTTCCTTAACCAAATTAAAGGTCGAAAAGAGTGTTCTGCTGCATGATACACAGACTGCAAAGCCCTTAGAGGCAAATGTGATTTGCAATTTTGACCTACACTGTGTGTGTGGACAGACACACACACACAGTATATACGTGATCTCTGTTTGCAACTGAAAGCTCCTGTCACTACCTTCTTTGCCATAGCTCACCAGCTTTAGCTACAATATAAAAACAGAGCAGTATCACATCTGTCTGCAACTGCATCACCTTGTGGGAGACTCTTCATTCACGAATCGAGTGCAGGAACAGAGTGCGCTCAAGTAGGAAATTAGGTTGACAGGCACGCAGGCCATTCAATGGTTTTGCTCGGACCAAGTAAAATTACCGATCAGGCTTTTCTCAGTCCTGCTGCTACCAGTACAGGTTACAGATTTTTTTTTTTTTTTTTTTTTCTTTGTGTTGTCAGTGCATGCAATTTAATCATGGCCATTGGGATGAAAAGAGAATTTCAAGAAACATAACAAAAAATGCTTCTGAAAAGAATCACCAATGCTACCTTTAACTCTGTAATTTTGTCAGTATGAGAGAACCTTTCAAATTACACGGTGTCGTTTAATTCTCCATCAGGATCAAAAACACTGAATATTGCAATTTAACCTGACTGCCAATGACTTTCTAAAGCATACAGCAGCTGTTCACATTTTTAAATGCATTTCCCTACTTTTCAGCAAGAGTACAATGAACTTTCATAGGTTTCAGGTTTGTTTGAGGTTGATAACTCACTGTGAATGTTTAGTTTTCTTCCTTACTCTTACATGATAATGTAGCCCAAAGACTGTCAATGTTCCTGACCAAGTTTCTTTGACTTACTAAGATATACTGTCACCCACAATTTTAAGTCTACACAGGAAACACGTAAATGTTCCCAAATTGACATCATCCTTCATTGTCTTGTCTTGTCTGTATCTACAGTATCATTGTATTTTCATTTTTGTCAACATGGCTTGTGAATGTAATGCTGTTTGGCTGCCATTTGTAGTGGATTACTCACATGCATGCACCAGGCAAAAGGTTTACAAACACAAGCCATACTTGACCTTCATCATGTGATATTTTACAGATGACTAAATGTTTACTGTATAGGACTAGTTTTCTCGGGCAAGTCTCCTCATGTTAATGGGCTTATCGTGCTGAAAACATCTGGCTGCCTAAACTTCAGGAAAACAAGCCTTAACCGATCAAAGAAAGTGCAGTTACTTCCAGAAAAATGTTGGCAGAGTAAACTGACTATAACCTACAAAAACACAGATGTGATCCTTAAGATCTTAATCCCTCAGACATTTAAAACGACTGAACAAACCAGATATTTCTTTCAGCAGGTCAAGTATGGCTTTGGTTGCCTCCAGCTGCTCCCAGGTGCCTTGGCTCTTCTGACACCGAGAGTCCTCCTCTTTTGGCAAACAGCCCTGCTCCTTCCCTTTAGCCTTGTTTGCGCTGCCTGGCATCTTGAAACATATTTTCTCCTTTTTATTTGGCTTTGCACTGAAATTAAGCCTCGACAGGCCTTCTGAGCTCTCCACCTGTGAGCATCCATTTTGGCTGCAGTGAGGCGTGGAGTCTGAATCAGGCGGGTCTTCATCACTGTTGTTTTTTGTTGAGGCCAGAGACTCTTGCGGCTTGTGTCCAGTCAGCCCTCTGCTCATTTTGGAGTGAGAGATTAAGGGATTATCAGACTCCTCCATTTTGTCTTGGGAACAGATTTCATTACTTGAAGAGTCTGAGTTAACAGCAGACTGTGGCTCCTCTTCTGCTTCTACATCCTCAGGCGGTTCTGAGGGAAGATCACATTGGGAGATAACAATAGTTGGGAGCACAGCACCGGGAACATCACTGCTCTTCTCAGTCGAAGCTCCAGAGATATCTGAAGACTGAGCTGTGGACTCTGGCTGCGACAATGGCATTATGATTTCTTTTGGGGACTCTGTCTGAGGGCTAGAGCTCTGCAAAGGAACACAACACAGTCAGGGCCATGGCTTCTGACCCCGAGGCATAGCGCAGCAGGCACTAGACAAATTCATATGTCAGTTTAGTATGACATTTTAATAATTTCACCATTTATTTTCACTTTCAACCAAGTCTGACTAACCTGGAGGTTTTACTTAAAACATTTCTGCTCATCTGACTGGTTGTGTTTTTGTAACAGTGCTGCCATATGCACAGGTTTCAGCCAATAACCTTCTGGGTACAATCTTATTATTAATGGCAGGGATCCTTTCAAGAAAGCAAATATGTGAAACATTACCTCTTCCTCCTCTTGACCTGGAGTCAGAAAGTAGGCCAAGCCACTGAGAAGGCCCCACACGCCCCCATAATCTTCCTCGTCGTTCAGCAGTTTGTCAAACGGGCAGAGGAACTGAAAAACTGGTTGAGTGTGGCCGATCGCATTATCAGAAATTAGTTCCTTAAAACCAAAAACACAAAATGTTGAATCATAAAGTCTTTTAACTGGTTTTCTAGAAACACAGCTAAGATTATTTTTGGTGCCTTTCACCTGCAGGAAGTGCTCCACTGACGCTCTAGCTTTTTCTTTAACCTCACTGTTGACTTCTGTATCCTCCAGCACCAGGATCATGGGCAAGCTGGTCGAGTCCTAAGAAGTACAGAAACAAAACATTCAGTCAGTACACACCAAACCCAGAATAAGCCCGCCCATAAATATTATATTATAGAAATGAATAACATTGGACTGTATGATGATGGGACATTATTTAATTCCAAGTTGTTTTACATTGTCAGCTTAAAATAAATCACATCTCATGATTCACAATATTCAAGCTATTCAGATTCTTAGCTGTCAACCATGTGACTTACTACATACAGTAGAATAGATGACATTAAATATATTAATTCATGCCATCATGTTGACATTTCTGCATTAACCTCATACGTCATTAGAAGTGGGGGGGGAAGAAAAGAAGAAAACACAGGCAGGAAATGTATGAAATTCATTTTAAAAGAGTAAGCTGCTCTTCCTGTTCATGGGAATTATTGCCTCATTATGCTGCTATCTACTATCTGAGGTCTACAATGACCCTGCCATAACTTCTCAGAGTGGTGTCTCAGAGTACAGTCCAACAATCACAGTGCTTAAACATTATAAAGTTCAGTCTAATGTTAACAAGACCTCAGCAAAATAAGAAAAAAAAAAAAAAAAAAAAAAAAAAAAAAAGAACAAATTGTGATCTTCCAAAGGCCATTAGAACTCTACTCTACTCTACTCAGCACTGGTTCATATCCTTTGTGTATCATGATGGTTTGGTTTGCTAGTTTATCAAGACAACTTTTAGGAGTACACGTACTAAATAGAGGGTGGCATGAGACTCGATACTGGCATTGGTGCATCCCTAGTTTAGTTTGACCAAAATTAAGCAATGCAAAGTCAAAGACAAACATGCCTAATTAAGCACAGCAGTGCTTTTCCACTTTCAGAGAAGGTTTATATAAATACCACAGCTGAGTCTCTAAAATTGGTATGCAGCAAGCCGTGTGCTAGTTAATGTCTGTGCTGCATATTGCACCACATCACAGGGAAAAACATCTGGCTTTCAACTAGGTGTAATTTTATGAGATAAATATTTCAGGACAGGAGTTTTTCTCTAGTCTCCCTCACCATCGCTGGTCCTCTTGAAAGGGAAAGAACAATCAAACCAAGAAAAGAAAAAAACAAAAAAAACAACATCTGCCCTCTTAGATGGGCGGCACATCTAAGTCAAGCACTCAAGTGGATGGTTGATAATAAAATGCCTTTAAATAATAAAGGAGCAATGTTACAAGTATGCAGACCTTACACTCAGTTGTCAGTTTATTAGGTACCCAATCTACTCCAGCCAAATACAACAGTACTGAATTAAATCACACCTAAAGATGTGTAACAAAGATTATTAGCTCAGTTAAGTTAAAAAAAAAAAAAAAAAAAAAAAAAAAACCTTTCCCGGTTTTTTTTTTTTTTTTTTTTTACCTGCCATCGATTGCGAAAATGTACCACATCCATGTAGGTCTTCCTGATGTCCCACTGTAGGTTCTCAGGGCTGTTATTCTCCTCCAGGTGAACGGTGAAGATTAAGTCCTGATCCTCCCAGTCAACCTACGACATAGTTAACTGCTGTTCAAACTGCAGATCACACATTAACAAACCACCCAAGCTTTTTACAGAGTCTCAGCAAACAGATAATGAGCCTCCAGGACATTCCACACTGCCGCTGTTATTTATAACTCACATGAGGGATGCTGACAGCCCAGCGGCCCACACACCACATCTCATATGACAGCTTGAATTCTATCATGTCCTCCTGAACATCTGTCAGGTAGTTCTCCAGATCACTGTCTTCCTAATGGTGTTTGGCCAAAAAGCGACAATCAATCTGTCATGTTTCGTAAACTGTAAAATTCCATTTAATATACTGTGTTATCTGCGGCAGTCTCACTCTGTCAGAGTCCTGCTGACTGTGAATGGAGCCCTCTCTGCTGCTGACGTCGTCCTCGTTGGACATGTCACCCTGGATTGCTGCGATCCTCATCATCTGACCCTGCGCCATCATTTTCATCTTCTTCTTCTTGACCCTCTTTACCTTCATCCTATCCACAAACCTTGACCATCCTTCCTTAAACTTGTGACCTGAAAATTTAAAAAGCCACATTTTAAAAATCAAATAATTTCACAGCTTGTCATTTCATCAACTGTACCATCCTGTTCTTTTCTTCTGCACAGCCTGGAGGTGGCTTTTTGGCTCATTATCCTGCTATAGGATGAAACCCTGAAAAGGTTGTTAGCCATAGTGTGTTTTCCAGCACTGCCTTTGTACAGATAGAACTGTAGGAATTGTTTGCATTCACTTCCAAAGCTTCATTTACTTCCACTGCTGCAGAAAAAATAGAAGTTCACCTGTTACTCGATCCCTGAAAAGGTCAGATTTTTATCAAATACACACATCTTTGTAGTTTTTGTTGACTTCTTGCCTCTAGCAGTTTAATTCTTAGCTTTATACCATTTAATTAAGGCCATTCTCTGGACATCTTGCTGCTTAAATGTCAATTTAAAAAGGAAAAGCAGGGCGTTCTAAAACCTTTGAGACAATAATCAGAAATTCTACCTTGACATTGATCTTGCCCTAATAAACACTTAAATGAAAGTGTAGCAACTGTGGAGAATCACTATGGTAGGAATGTGTGTGAGAAAAACTCTTCACAGGATATAAAACATACTAAAGAAGGCACACACACACACACACACACACTGTAAGTGCACTAGGCATGATTAGTGATCAAACATTCAGAGGACCTAACAATTAATACATCCATGAGTCCTGCATAATTCTTACATATTATGACAAATAATGTTTTCAGAATTTATGATGTGAAGGTTACAAAAACAAAAAAATCTACATATTTATATCAGACAGTTCATTATCTTGGCATGATAATGATGAAAATGATTTGGCACTCGGTGTGTCGTTTGTGTAATTGGCTGTCTGGGCCAACAGATAAAACAAATACGTGTTGAAAGGAAGGCCGGTAAAAAAATTATTTAAAAAAAAGCCGAGAACACATTTGCTATTCATTAAACTGTTGTATAAGATGTTAGGTGTCATCTATTCTCTGAACTCCATAAACTAGCCCATCTCCTTACTCAGGCCTCTATTATCATCACCTGAAATGTTTTCCCAATTCCAAAATAACTAGAACCAGGTTAAAATCACAAATCCTACAGATTGAAGTGTCACAGAGTTCATAAGTGAATAGGCTTTGTGTTACAACACCTCAGTCACCAAAACAGACCTTTCCCTTTCTCCTTGATCCTGGTGCCGGCTGAAGCATCCACTGTCTCCAAGCTCCTAAAAATCCAAAAACCAGCCACCAGACAAAACCAGGTCAGTTCCAATTTCAGACACAGAAGGTGATCGCTACAGTTGCTGCTCTAAGGCTCACTACAACTATGCCAAGTCAGTAGGGTGCAAAAGATGACAGCCACTCACACTTCACTGCCATCGCCTTTTCCCTCCTGTGAAGCCAGAGAGGCTTGTTCCAGGTCTGACCCACACAGCTCCTCCACAGAGCCTTTGGGAGTCACGCAGTCGAGCTGGCTCACCACCAACTGGTTCAGGTTGTCGGGGTCAGACAGCCATGTCACCAACAGGTCCAGCCCTGTGGGAAAACAGCCATCACACTAATCCAACAAACTCTGTTTGTCATGACACAAACACACACCAAAATCAGAAGGCAAAATAACAACATTTGATAATTTACGTGGCTTGTAATGAGTCATGTTTTTATCCTCTTAACACAGCTGCAATGTATGTATAACAGTTTTACATTATCCAAGATACTGTATGCTTTCTAACTGCTTCATACCACAAGTAGCATAAAGGTTGAAAACGGCTACAAAGATTTTTTTTTTTTAAAATCCCCCCACCAGCACCTTCTGCTCCTGTGCAGTCACTTCCTGCAATCAACCTCACAGTGACAACTAGCCTCCAAGAATTTAATTGGGTTAAAAAAATAGTCTATTTAATGGACAGATATGACAATAAATGGTACAAATCTTAATTAATGTCCTCAAGATTAATAACTGTAATTATGAGAAGTCAATACTATTAGGCTAAATGAGAATGATCTGTAATAATTACTGTAGTAGTGAAGCCCTGTAAAACATTTCCAACTGTTTCAAATGGCTGTACACACTCATTGTCATGCATCTCTGAACAAAACACTTGAATTTCTAAACACCAAAATGAAGAGCATCCTGGACGTGCACATACAGTTTTTTTAAGTACAGTTGTAAAAATCACTACTGGAACCGAGCGACATACTGGAACCAAGCCAAAACCTAAAGAAACCCTAAAGAAAACTGTCAGCTTACTGTGGAAGGAGCCTTCCTTTTCTGTAACCCACAACTCATGTCCTAAGCTCTACAATACCACTGACAATAAGGGATTACATACAACTCACACTTGTCAGAGAAGTGGTGGGAGGCTTAGCGCTTATGTAAGACTATATTCCTGCAGAGAGATAATTTAATGCTTTCTTACCCTTTAAAGCAACAATCTCATTTAAGGCACAGCGGGTGACTTCTTGGCCCCCGAGAGATTTAGGGAAAAGGTTGCGTACTAGAGCGTCTGAAAACTCTCGGAGAAGTGCAACTTCATCTGCTCTGGAGCTGAACAAGAGCTGCCTGAGACAGAAAAAAGCACAACAGAAAAAGGTCACAGAGAAGTGCATCCAACCATTAATCAGTACTAAACTGGATCAAAGACGTTCATCACCACACAATGCAGAGAAGCACTCCACCGTAACCTTAAAGGTGATGTTGATCACTATTGATTAGGGATGTAATGATTCCAAAAACCTATAGTACAGCCAAAAAAAAAAAAAAAAAAAAAAAAAAAAGCTCAACCATTTTTTTTTTTGGTATTATCTTCCATTTAACTTGGAGTGTGCTCCTGCTTCCCTTCTTTATTAAAAAAGTAGCCAGCCGTGACCTAATGTGCAAAAAAATTGTCACGAGTTGTCACTGAATGATCGACATGTCTATTGACCACTGGGGCAGCAGTGAGCAAAGTGCTGCTTGGCGCAACAGAACGAGGAGAGGACGCCAAAATACACAAGGGTAAGTCACAAAAAGGTGCTTCACTGGAGGTTTGTCAAGCATCTTGGTCTACTTTTTCAAGACCAAGTTGTTTTTGCAAGGTGTGCCCAAGATTGTCTCGTTTCTAAACGGGGCAAGTATTTCCTTCTCCCGGCAGTATTTTCAAATAATTTGTTGGTTTCCTTTCTTCCCATGTCATTTCTTGAAACAGGAAAACTGAAATGCTGCCAGACAACAGCTCTAAATGTCAGCGATGTTAGTTTCAAATTCTGTGACCTGAACGTAGTAACGAAATAACTATATATAATATCCTGCTAGATACCGTCACAATCCCAGTAAAAGTGTGATAAATACTGAGGTATTGCTATAGTTCAGACACATTACTGAGTGAAGTCCTTTAAAAATGACACAGGTGTACAGTCTCACCTGTCAGGTTGCTTCACATTATGCAAATGCTGGGTCAAAATCCGAATGGAGCCTACAACCACCTGGCAGACATCGAAGTCTTTGGCTCTCTCAATGATACGGTCGATTATGAAGTCAAATTCCCTGCTGAGCACCTGGTACAGAGGCTGGCACTGACATGGCTCAGGAACGCCGTACCAAGGCAGGACCAGCTGAGCGTAGGCAGACTCAAACACTGAGGAGAGCAGTCGCAGAGGAAATTCACATTAACACCAAGCTCACACACAGAGCCAGTACAAATATGCACAACAGCATTTTCCTCTGAAGATGAGAAGTTGATGATGAGGTGAAAACAAGTTTCTCATTGAATACACTGAGCATCTTTTATTTATAGCAACATCGTTTTATTCATCTCTCATGCAGAGACAAGCTGAGGAAAGCAGCTGAGTGCTGATAATCTTAAAACTGTGTCTTGATTTACAGATGTATACTCTTGTGTGTATATATATATATATATATATATGTACATTGAGGTGTTCTATAGTAAGATTTAATTATGAATAAATACTTGTAATGTTTCATGGGCACCTGTGCCATTTTTCATATAGTTTGCACTTCTGGCAGCTTTTTTCTTAAACTGACCTGAACTGTCTGTGCTAAGAAAAGGATGCAATGAGAGGTATGAGCTGTTAATGTGCAATGCAAGAATTTATTTACAGTCTACATAAATGAGTCAGAATTATCATGGTCTCCAGAGACATAAGAGCTTATGCATTTGAATTAGACTGAGATATTTAGCAATGGAAAAAAAAAAAACACAATTTCAAGGCAAAGTTCATTTTACCTTTTTAGTTTCATACATTTTCAGTGGTTTTCAAGATACGAGGTGAACCTTGAGCAATCTGAATGTAGACAGCATGAAATGCATGTCCAAAACAAACCTTTTTCTCAAAGAAATTGAGCTTCAGAGCTGTGATATGAATCTTATAGCCCAACACAAGCCAGTTTAAATGTCACTGTACAAAAAAGGAGCTCAACACAAGTATGACTGATAACACTGTATTAAAACTAGACATCTTATTTACCTGATGGCAATATAAAACCCATCTAGTGAGAAGGTGTACTTCATCTTTTATGTTACCACAAAGCTCTGTCTCTCTTTATGTAACATGAGCCTCAGCTGTGTGGAGTAAAAGGAGAGCTACACTTTGCAGGCAAAACCCCTGAAGTTCAGAGCTTTCACTTCAAACTTTGTGCAAAGTGTTTCTAACCTCCCAAGGTGAATGTGTTTACACCACTTGAAAAACATATTCCTTCTTCTGTGTAAAACTTGCCTCACCTTGCTGTAAAGACCTTTTTACAAGTGGACACCGAGACTGAGGCTGCTCGATGCGTTCTCCATCAGTCAAGTCACTAAATAAATCTTCGGAAGTTCTCTAAAAAGCACAGAAATATGAGTTTAACTACCGGGAACCGGCAAGATCATCAATTAAGCAACGTCAGTTACACACTAGTGTGTCCGTGAGAACAGGTTTTTCAGGCCTGCATAAAAAACAACAACAACAAAAAACCAAAAAAACCCGGAAACAGAGCTGAGTGTATCTTGGCCTGTAAACACGAGAAACAAGTTACACTACTGATTTACACGTTCATTTTAAAGAATTTCAAAGACATTATTACTACATCAATAATCCTAATGATACCTGGACTGGGGTTTCCTTCGTTTCTTCATCGGTTTGAGTGCTGCTCTCTTGTTGGCCTGAACTGTTTCCAAATAACAGCGGAGTTGTAAAACAAAAGAGGAAGAATAAAAAGTACTGGGTCGCTGCGCGGCCGAAGTCTGAAAACCACCACAGCAAGCCGAAGGTTATGGCGATGGAGAAGCGCCATAGATGCATAGTCTTTGGTTTTAGATCAGCCTCTCTTCGCTCGGATCTCTGACTTCGACACGGTTTGTTCTGCACATAGTCTAAGCTGGTTTGTCCAGCCACATCTTCAGCACCAGGAAGAACATGAAAGCGAACTTTATTAAACAGCTTCAAGCAGAGCAGTGATTGGCTGCAGGCGGGTCCCGAGTGTCAGCTGTTGGTAATGACAGGATGCCATCTACAGGTGACAACCTCACCTAGCAGCAGGGAGCTCTATGTCTGTCTATCTATCTATCTATCTATCTATCTATCTATCTATCTATCTATCTATCTATCTGTCTGTCTGTCTGTCTATCTGTCTGTCTGTCTAGAAAACATTTAGTTCAGTTCATGAAGAATGGTTTACTCCATATTTGCTTATGTCTTATTGTCAGATTTAATTGTTCAACCATAGCTACAATCATACTTTTCCACAAGACAGCAAAAAAATATTTATTTATCTAAAATATGCCCTGGATCTAAATCTTATTAGCACTATCGGGTATGGAATTAATAGAACGAAGTAAACAGTTACGTGCCACAAGATGGCGCCAACACTTCTACTCAAGGAAATACAGAACACAACTAAACAGCTGTATCAGTCAAACCACAGGAGAAAAACATCATCAAAATGCCTGTTGTATTATCATACGCACTTTAAATAACTATGATTATTGAACACAATATTTGATGTGAAAACATTCAAATTAAAGGCAGACATTTAATGGGCCAAATCTTCTTAATGCAATTAAAAGACAGATTTTAAATAGCTATGATATAATCCACAGCTACTCTAAGTGGTATGTAACAAACAAACAGGGACATTTATTTTAAAAATCCCATAAATGGTTTATAATACACTCAATCTGATATTCAGTGAATACGCTAACACTCACAGCTCTAGACACTTTTACTTTTTGATACTATAAGTGCATTTCTCCAATAATATTTATGTACTTAAGTAATAGTTTCAATTCAGGACTTTTACTTGTAATGTACTATTTTTACATTGTGGTACTGCTACTTGATTTGAATACTTCCTTGCACTGCGTCAAACGCAAAGGAGTAGCAGCAGGAGTTTTTCGTTACAATATTAAGAAATGTAATGTTGGGGAAACAGAAGACCTGAAACATTAACTGAAAATAATCAGAATATTTTTCACACATGAACTTTGTGTCCTGATGGTCAGTTATCTGTAGGTTTTCATGAAGAAATGTGCATGAGATCCCTGTTAGAGCTGTCATGTGTTGGATGTGGAGAGGCCACCTGCTGAGAAGAGCTTTTGGGGAAGGAGTGATCACAACAGTATTAAAACTAATTTCCCTGGGGCAGCGGTTACCATATTAATGAAAGGAAGATTAGACTCTGTCCAGCTGCGTAAATCATGTAATCTAACAGTGCTGCTAAAATGAGGTTAAGTCCTCCATTGAAGATCAGACTGGGTTAAGTGGGTTAATGTGTCTGCACACAACTTGTCAAACTGTGTTTTTACTACAACAGCTTCTGACATGCACATTATCTGTAGCTGATTTATTTTTCCTGGCATGTTACTGTTAAACTAAATAGCAGAGTAAATGTAATCAGGATTCTACACTTAGTACAGACAGACACATTAATTTGTACCATCACTGACCCACTCACTTGTGGTTGTTAACATGGAAGTAAATTGTTCGGTCTAAGGATGTGATCCAGAAGTGAGGAATATACAGAGAGAAACATCTCCAGTGAGAAAGCTAAACTTTTACTGAACTCTCAGCAACATAATAGTTCAAAGCAAATTTTAGACATTAACTCATTCTCATGGTCACACTCTCAATAAGAGTAATTACAGCTGCACTCATGGAGGATTTCTCTGAAGTTAAAAGCCTGCAGCAGACAGAGGACTCATTACTCAGTAACCTGGGTTACACAGCTTTTTCCATGTCATTGCTAATAAGAACTTTGGACCACATATGTCAAATACTGTCCTAATTGAAACATTTTCTCCAGTCTTTTATTTCTGAAATGAGGAGTTAATGTTCCTAGGGGGCAGAAGCTCTTTAGCTGGTCAATGAAAATGGCTGAAAAGTAATTAAAGCTGTCAAGTGTCACTGTGACCTTGTGGTCAGCGTGCACCTCGCAACACAAAGTGACAGTGTTAGGGTCCAAATAGTTTAAATGGACACTAGAGTAGACACTTCAGATGTCACACACAGAAGTGGAAAGTAACTAAGTCAAATCAAATCAAATCAAATTGTATTTGTATAGCACCAAATCACAACAAAAGTCATCTCAGGACACTTTACAAAGTAAGGTCTAGACCTTACTGTTATCAATATTATTACATAGGGAAAACCCAACAAATCCCCCTGAGCAGCACTTGGTGACAGTGGGGAGGAAAAACTCCCTTTAACGGAAGAAACCTCCGACAGACCCC